TAATTGTTTTATAAAACAAATGCTGAATAATTCACTATTTTATTTTAATATCTTAATTAAACATCACTTTGTACCTATGCTTTCTTTTCTAAGTTTTGCACTAGCTTTTGTCAAAAGCGATAAAATTTAGACATTTTTGTATCAATAAACCTCTAAAGAAAGAAAAAAAAAAAAATACTATTACATAGGGCAAAAGGAAACTGACATTTTCATGTACTACTGTTGTTAGATGCCGTTAAGTCAGTTCCGACTCATAGCAAACCTCTGTACAACAAAACGAAACACTGCCCAATCTTGTGCCATCTTCACAGTTGTTGCTGTGTTTGAGCCCATTGTTGCAGCCACTGTGTGAATCCATCTTATTGAGGGTCATCTTCTCTTTTGCAGACCTTATGCTCTACCAAGCATGATGTCCTTCTCCAGGGTCTGGTCCGTCCTATTAACATGTCCAAATTACCATCCTTGCTTCTAAGGAGCATTCTGTCTGTATTTCTTCCAAGACAAATTTGTTCACTCTTCTGGCAGTCCATGGTATACTCAGTATTCTTCACCAACACCATAATTCAAAGGTATCCATTCTTCTTTGGTGTTCTTTATTCATTGTCCAGCTTTCACATGCATATGAGGCAGTCGAAAATACCATGATCTGAGTGAGGTGCACCTTAGTCATCAAAGTGATATCTTTGCTTGTTAGCACTTTAAAGAGGTCTTCTGCAGCAGATTTGCCTAATGCAATGTATCGTTTGATTTCTTGACTGCTGCTTCCATGGGCTTTGATTGTGGATTCAAGTAAAATGAAATCCTTGACAACTTCAGTCTTTTCTCTGTTTATCATGATGTTTTTTCTTGGTTTAGTTGTGAGGCTTTTTGTTTTCTTTATGTTGAGGTGTAATCCATACTGAAGGCTGTAGTCTTTGATCTTCATCAGTAAGTGCTTCAAGTCCTCTTTGGTTTCCGAAAGCAAGGTTATGTCATCTCTATATGGCAGGTTGTAAATGAGTCTTCCTCCAATCTTGATGCTGCATTCTTCTTCATATAGTCCAGCTTCTCAGATTATTTGCTCAGCATACAGACTAAATAAGTATGGTGAAAGGATACAACCCTGACACACACCTTTTCTGATTTTAAACCACTCAGTATCCCCTAACTATGTACAGGATCCTCATGAGCACAATTCGTCATTCTGGAATTCCCATTCTTCACAGTGTTATCCATAATTTGTTATGATCCACACAGTCAAATGCCTTTGCACAGTCAATGAAACACAGGTAAACATCTTTCTGGTATTCTCTGCTTTCAGCCAAGATCCATCTGACATCAGCAGTGATTCCCTCATTTCGTGTCCTCTTCTGAATCCAGCTTGAGTTTCTGGCAGTTACCTGTTGATCGATGTGCTGCTGTAACTGCTTTTTAATTATCTTCAGAATTTTACTTGTGTGTGATGTTAGTATTATTGTTCAATAATTTCTGCACCTTTCTTTGGAATGGGCACAAAAATGGATATCTTCTAGTTGGTTGGCCAGGTAGCTGTCTTCCAAATTTCTTGGCATAAATGAGTGAACGCTTCCAGCGTTGCATCCATTTGTTGAAGCATCTCAACTGGTATTCCGTCAGTTCCTGGAACCTTGTTTTTTGCCAGTGCCCTCAGTGTAGCTTGGACTTCTTCGTTCATTACCATCAGTTCTTGATCATATGCCACCCCTGAAATGGTTGACATCAACCAATTCTTTTTGGTACAGTGATTCTGTATATTCCTTCCATCGCCTTTTGATGTTTCCTGCGTTGGTCAATATTTTGCCCATAGAATCCTCCAATATCACAACTCAAGACTTGAATTTTTTTTTGGTTCTTTCAGCTTGAGAGATGCCGAGCATGTTCTTCCCTTTTGGTTTTCTAACTCTAGGTCTTTGCACATTTCATTGTAACACTTCGTTTTCTGGAGCTGACCTTTGAAATCTTCTGTTCAGCTCTTTCATGTGATCATTTCTTCCGTTCACGTTAGCTACTTTACGTTCAAGAGCGAGTTTCAGAGTCTCTTCTGACATCCATTTTTTTTTTCTTTCATTCCTGTCTTTTTAATGACCTTTTGCTTTCTTCATGTATGATGCCTTTGATGTCACCCCACAACTCTTCTGGTCTTTGGTCATTAGTGTTCAGTGCGTCAAATCTGTTCTTGAGATAGTCTCTAAATTCAGGTGGGATATACTCAAGATTGTACTTTGGCTCTCGTGGACTTGTTTTAATTTTCTTCAGCTTCAACTTGAACTTGTATGTGAGCAGTTGGTGGTATGTTCCACAGTCAGCCCCTGGCCTTGTTCTGACTGATGATGTTGCGCTCCTCCATCATCTCTTTCCACAGATGTAATCAATTTGATTCCTGTGTATTCCATCTAGCAAGATCCACGTGTATAGTCTCCTCTCCCTTTGCGTTGTTGACAAAAGGTATTTGCAATGAATAAGTTGCTGGTCTTGCAAAATTCTATCATGCGATCTCATAGGAAAGTCATATTAACTGGTCTTCCTTGAAGATATATGGATATTATCCTATCACTGACAGTGTTGTACTTCAGGATAGATCTTGAAATGTTCTTTTTGACAATGAATGTGACACTCTTCCTCTTCAATTTTTTGTTCCCAGCATAGTAGACCATATGATTGTTGGATTCAAAATGGCCAATACCAGTCCATTTCAGCTCACTTATTCCTAGGATATTGATCTTTATGCATTCATTTCATTTTTGGTGACTTCCAATTTTCCTAGAGTCATACTTCGTACATTCCACGTTCCGATTATAAATGGATGTTTGCGGTTGTTTCTTCTCATTTTTAGTCATGCCACATCAGCAGATGAAAGTGTTGAAAGCTTTACTCCATCCACATCATTAAGGTTGACTCTACTTTGAGGAGGCAGCTCTTCCCCAGTCATATTGAGTATCTTCCAACCTGAGGGTTTTATCTACTGGCACTACATCAGACGATGTTCCGCTGCTATTCATAAGGTTTTCACTGGCCAATTTTTTTTTTTTTTTCAAGAAGTCGATCGCTAGGTCCTTCTTCCTAGTCTGTCTTAGTCTAGAAGCTCAGCTGTAACCTCTTCACCATAGGTGACCCTGCTGGTATTTGAAATACCAGTGACATAGCTTCCAGCATCACAGCGACATGCAAGCCACTACAGTACGCAAACTGACACATAAGTTGCAGTAGGCATAAATTGGTATGTCTATAATGGGGGCATTTTCAAAATATATCACATTTGTAAATGTATATTCCCTTTGACCCAACAGTTCTAGTTTTTCCATGTACAAATAAGAATTGTTTGTAATAGCATAAATTAGGTATGCCTAGTTATGATTTGTAATAGCAAAAGATTGGAAACAATTGAAGTATCTACCACTGGAAGACTGGTTAAACTCATTAGGATACATCTACAAAATTGAATATTATATAATAGTTCAAAAAATGAAGCAGCTCTTTATATACTGATATGGAAAGATCTGCAAGGTATGTTATTGAAGGGATAAAAGGTAGAAGAGTCTGTTTGTATGTGTGGTATGGCTGCCATCTATAAAAAAAGGAAAATTGTACACTAATATTTGCTTATACCAAATCCCACTGCAGTCAAGTCAGTTCCAACTCATAGATACATAAAATCCTGTGGAAGGATACACAAGAAACTGATAAAGGTGTTCATGTGTGAGGAGAGGAACTAAGTGGCTATGTAACAGGGATGGAAGGGAGATACATGCTCTTTTATACATCTTGATTTTTTTTTTTTTTTTTTCGTCTGTGTGGAAACAGTTAAATTAAAAGAAATCCTTGGTTTGGCTTGTTTTAGGCATGAGGGTGTCCTTCTAAGAGAACCAGTGATTTTTTTCCTAGACTTCCTTATACCACTTAGAATATATTCCAAAGCCCTTACCATGGCTTGAAAGACTCCATATTCTCTGACCTCTGACTACCTTTTCTACCTAATTTCCTGGACTTTTTTCCCTTCCTCAATATGCTGCAGCCACATTGAATAAGCCAAGCTGTTCCTCATCTCAGGCCTTTGTATTTGCTCTTCTTTTTGCCTGGAGTACTCCTCCACCAGATGTCTACATATTTTCTTACTTCATTCAGGTTTCTGTCCAAATGTCACCAACTTAGTGAGGCCTTTCTTGACCGTCTTACCTAAAATAGCACCCCTAATCACCCTCTGTCTGCTTATCCTGCTTTACTTTTCTTCATATCACTAATAGCTACCTGGCAGCTGTTTATTTCTGTTTGTTTATCTGTCTCCCTACTCCCCCCCCATCTCACACACACACACACACACACACACACCCACCCACCCCACAGAGGAATAGTGGCTCCAGGAAAGCAGGGCCTTTGCTTTTGTTTACATTGTCTAGAATAATGTCAAGGAGTTCTAGTGGCACAGTGGTTAAGCGCTCGGCTGCAAACCTAAAGGTCAATGATTTGTACCCACCAGCTGCTCCACGGGAGAAAAATGTGGCAGTCCGCTTCCATAGAGATTTATAGCCTTGGAAACCCTATGGGGCAGTTCTACTCTGTTCTGTAGGGTCGCTATGAGTCGAAATTGACTAGACAGCTCACAACAACAACAGAATAGTGTCTAGCGCATAGTAGGAACTTGAGATATTTGTTGAATGAATGACTTCTTTTAGGAAAGTCTTTAGCTCTTTCAGCCTCAATATCTTACATCTTTTACTAGAGCACTGATATAGCATGAATTTAGAGAAAATCTCTACTTGCTTAAGTGACTGTCTCCTCTTTGTACATTGCAAGTAGATCAGGAATGAGGTTATTGAATGACTACTTCTCTTCACACAGATCAGACTTCCATAGGCGTAGATCAGCCTTAATTTTTGATTACTCAGTACTCGTTTATGACCTTGAAGACTGTATTGGAATAGGCCTTTTCTAGTTTTAAGATGCGGTAGTTAAAAACAACCACAAACATATTGACCTTTCCCTGCTCTTACCCTGTTTTCCTCCAGCATGTCTTATACTGAAGCTGTGGAAATCTTAAAGAAGGCATCCCAGAACTTCACCTTCACCCCAGAGGTGGGTATTTTTTAATATAAATAAAAATATATTTCCTTCTTGTCCTTATCTTACTGCAGAAGAATCATTTCAAAGTAACCGTATTTCTCTTTTTAGCAATGTGTAGTATTTGCTCATCTGTAGATAAGCTTTGTTTGATGTTTGCTTTCCTGTTGAAAGATTTAGAATGAAAAATAAATACGAAGCAGAATTTAAAAAACAATTGTGTCATTTGTAGTAGCAGTAATTAAAGCGTTATGAAAAAAGTTTGACAACTTTAGTAAGATGAAAGTCTTTGAAAAGAATGGTAATCATAATATTAGTCTAGAAATCAACTAGTTTAGTGTTTCCCAAAGTATGTTCTAAGTGATGTTAAAAAATGACAGAAGAAAAGAGGTTATGGTCAAATAATTTAAGAAGCATATTAAACAGGTTTCTTTTTGTTTTGAACTTCATGGAGCCTTTTAATTTGTGAGCCACTTTAGAAAACACTGACTTTTTTTTTTTTTTAAAGAACTCCTTTATTTTATTGGCAAGGATATAGGTCCACAGAAGCCACGTAACTTATCAATGGGCATGTGTCTAATGTTAGAAGCAGAACCACATCCCAAAGCTTCTGATTCCTCTTCTAGTGCTTTTTTGCTATGATTAAGATATTGCCAGACAAGTGAGAGTAATAGGATAATATTAAGAATGTAGTAACTTCATCTTCAAACTATTCTTTATACCAGCCCCACCCCTAGTTAAGTTAGGTCCTCCTATAAGTTTTAATAGCATCCTATGTTTGTTATATTTATAATCAATTAATTCTTTGTGTAAGAATTTGTCAAATAAATAGATGAACAGTGTTATTAAATATTCACCCAAGAGCCTCTAATGAATTGGACTCTTTTATTTAAAAAATTTTTCAAGAGAAGCCATCTATCCAAAGATAGACTCAATATTAGGAATTTTATCTTCCATCATTTAATTTCCGGAGTCTTAGGAACAATAACTGTGGAAGAAGCTCTAGGCAATATTAATAAAAACTATTATTCTGAAGTCAGTTTTTGTGCACTATGGAAAGTACTTTGTTTTTCTGCAGATGCTATTCATCTGCTAAATGCTGCTCCCAGAGATGGGGACAAAAAGCGTAGTGTTTATCTACTGGTTTCAGCTTTTATCTTTCCAGGCCCTTGGATGTTCTTGTTAACACATATCTGTCTTTAGTTTAGTCAGCTGTGTAACCTCAGCAGACAGCTCCACACATCATTGAACCTCAGGGAGAGGAAGCCCTTGGAACAGATGCAGGTTATTTCAGGTGCTTTATTATATATTTCAGCTCTGTCTTCTCCTTTGATAAGTTCTTTTTTCTCATTACAGTGGGGTGCTGATCTACACACTGAACACGAAAAGTACCTGGTGAAGCACTGTGGCAACATACCAGTCTTTGTCATTAATTATCCATTAGTGCTTAAGCCTTTCTACATGAGGGATAATGAAGACAGCCCTCAGCACACAGTAAGAAAAGACGTGCAATAGATAGGCGTTATAGAACTTTCATCTCAGAGTCTGGGTTTTTCCCTTGATTAAATTTCATTAAGCCTTTGGCATATTGTCTTAAATTATAACCATCCCTCTTTTTATCTCTTAAAATGATAAAGTTTCTCACATACTCCTTTTAAAAAGCGTTCCCAGAGAAGATCCTAATGTTGTATAAACATACTTCCTCATTTCTATCACAAGGTGTCCTTCTCCTACTTAGTTTAGCAGGTGCAAATGTAGTTGTTTATTTTTTTTTTAAATATTTGAGAGGAAGTGGCTTAGAGCATTGAATAGCAATGCCAGATCTACTGTCAAGTTAAGTACTGGTTAGGAGACTGGAAAGCATGCTAGGCAAGAGATGAAGGTGGTGGCATGATAAGGCAAAGGAAGAGCTAACTTGCAAAGCAGGAGACTTAAAGTGCTATTGGTTTGGGCTATCAAATAGAAATGGGAGGAGGGGCGGTATGCAGGGATTGAGGAGGTCTAGACAGATTCCCCCTGTCACAGCTGTCATCTGACTGTCTCTTCTCTATCTGCCTGTTGTGTCTGTCTGGCTCTCTGTTCTCTTTTCCCTGTCCGCTTTCTTGCCCTCTGTCCTTTTTTTACCCTTAACTTTAGTTGCCTTTTTTTAATTCTTCTGGTTCACTTTTCCCCTTTTTTCTCTTATTTTGTCTACTCCTCTCTCCTTTCTAAAATCAGCCATAGTATAAAGTAAGAATATATTTGACCTTTTAGAGTACTTATTGAAGTGTTGTATGTTTAATATTATTAATTGTAAAAGTCTATGAGACAAATCCATTATGTTTATCTCAAAAAAACTTCCAAAAAATAAACTGTCGGGTACCTTTCACTTTCTGTAGATAAATACCAGTAGAAAAATGTAAAAGAAAACGCCCCCATCTTAGCTATGCAAGTTTATCTGTTTGAATATATTTCCCATTTTGTCTTATCACCACCCATTGCTGTCAAGTCAATTTTGACTCGTGGAGACGCTATAGGACAGAGTAGAACTGCCCCACTGGGTTTCCAAGGAGTGCCTGGTGGATTCAAACTGCTGACCTTTTGGTTAGCAGTCGAACTCTTAACCACTACACCACCAGGGTTTCCATTTTATCTTACAGCATTACTAAAACAATATTGTTGTATGCTGTGGAGTCGATTCCGACTCATAGCAACCCTATAGGACAGAATAGAACTGCTCCATAGGGTTTCCAAGGTTGTAGTCTTTATGGAAGCAGACTGCTATTTCTTTCTGCCACGGAGCAGCTGGTGGGTTCGAACCACCAACCTTTCGGTTAGCAGCCAAATGCTTATTCTTATGTGGCAGGCACTACCATCTCATCTCTAAATTCCAAAACAACCTTGCCATGAAACTTGTTTTCCCATTTTAGAGATTAAAAAACAAAACCAAACAAATGAAAAAACGCTGAGGTGCAAAGAGATTGATTGCATTTTCCAAGGCTGCATAGGTGGTAAGTGACAGAGTTAGTGTTCAAACTTGATTGCCTGTGGCTCTGAAGACTTTGTTCTTTTCCACTCTATCAAACTGCCTCAAAATCACAAATAATATAAAATTACAATTGTAGCCATTGATTTTACTCACCCCCACCTTTCACATTGCATTATCTAAAACCAGTGAGCAACGTAATTGATTTATGATTATTTTCCCTTTTCTCTACCATCCCTCTGGTATAAATGATAATGAAAAATGAATTGACCCATAGGATAGCAGCAAAAGGAGGAGAGACAAGGGCATAGATTATCTAACTCTGAATAATTCACTGTGGAACATACATCACTCATAAAACATAGGACTGTGTCCCTATCTCTTGGATTGTTTAACACTCCACTTCATCCCACTGCCAGTCCTCCTCTCCCCCTACACGTACACCATGTATTCTTCTCACTTAATTCCCCTAGATTGAGCACTTTTCAGTCACTCGATTTTGCACTTCTTTAAAAGCTCTGCTTAAGGCTTTCTTTCTCTCTGAACACTTTCTGGGTTACAGAGCCATGTTGAGCCTTCCTTTTCTGAATTTCTATAGCATTTAAAGAATTAGTAAAACTTTCTAGAATTGTGTCTTTTTTTTTTTTTTTTTTTTAAGTCTCTGTATGTATGTTTTGCTTCCAAAACAAAACTCTTAACTTCTTTAGGGTGACGATTGCGGTTTTTATAACCACCGTAGCATCTACCACCCATTCTTCATTCCCTTTAATATGGTTTCCACCCCATCATCCCACTGAAGCAGCTCTTGCTAGGGTCAGTAATGATCTTCATATTATTAAAGCCAACACACTTTTTGTATTTGACCTCTCAGCACCATTAATGACTTTCTTATTCTTAAAGCCCACTTCTCCCTTGGCTTCTGTGACATCACATTCTCCTAGTTTTTCTCTCTTCTCAGTGGTTGTTCTTAGTCTCCTGCACAGGTTGATCCTCTTTTACCAATTCATTAGGTGTTGGAATTCCTCCAGGCTCAGCCCTAGGCCCTGTTTTCTCTTCCCAGATAATTTCATCTGAACTCACAGCTTACTATTTATTGTCAAACAACTCTGACATTTATATCTCCAATCCAGTCTTCTCAGAACTCTGAACTCATATATCTTACTGCCTGCCTCAGAGGCTTCTCAGACTCAACATGTCCAAAACTGAACCCAAGGTTTCTTCTCCTCTTCCCTCACCAAACTGATCTTCTTTCAGTATTCTCTGTTCATCTAATTGTACAAACCAGATACCAGAGTCATCTTTAAAATCTTCCTCTCTCTCCTGTCTATGTTCAAGCTACTATTAAGTTCTGTGAGTTTTACACTCCTGTGTATCTCTCAAATTCACCCACTGCTTTTCTTTTCCACTTTCACCATTTTAGATTAAACCACCATCATCTCTTGCCTAGGCTATTTCAGTAGCCTCCTAACTGGTCTTCCTGTACCCATTCTGTCTTCCCCCAAGCCAGTTCTTCCCACATCAGCTTGAGTTTTTAGAAAATACAAATCTGATCATGTTATCTCCCTTCTTATAACTATTCAGTGGCCTCCTGTTGCTGTTAGGCCAAAACCTTTTATGTGGCCTGCAAGGCCCAGTATAATCTGGGTGCTCCTACCTCTCTAGTCTAATCTACTGTGGTGCTCCACTTTGCTTCACATGCTATATCTATACCACTCTTCTTCCAGCTCTTCAAACATGCAGTGCTTCCTCCCACTACATAATCTTTGTGCACACTTTCCCTCAAACTAGAACAATCTTTTTCACCTAAATAATTTTACTTATTCTTCATATCTCTGCCCAGTCATCATTCCTCAGAGAAATCTTCCTTGACCCTCCAGACTAAGGCAGAGACCTCTGTTAGACACTATAATAATACCACGATGGATTCAGACCCAGAACTACTAACTTTCAGTCTATCACAACACTTAACACAGTTATAATTTTACATTTATTTATGACTCTTTTCTCTACCAGAGGACCTATGTCTTTTTCCCTCACCAGTGCATCCCTAGTGCCTAGCATAATAGCTGGGATATAGCAGGCATCTAATAGCATTTGGTGGATGAATCCCTGGAACCCAACAGTGTTAGACACAGAGTGGACAAGTAGTGAGTGAGTGACTTGATTTGCTAAGGAAATTACTGGGAGACTAAAGAGCATCTAAATTTTCTGAGTAATAGCAATACATAAAGGAAAGCCACACATAAAGGAAAGCCCCATGGCTTTAGCATCAGATACTCATGGGTTGAAATCCCAGCTCTGTGCCTTATAAATTACGTGATCTTAGATGAGCCACCTAAACTCTTTGAGTCTTAGTTCCAGATCTGTAAAAGTGACATGATAATATTTTCCGGAGTTGTAAGAATTAAATTAGGTAACATATGAAAAGTACATAGCACAGCATTTGAGGTATTAGACAGTTAAGTGTGAGATCCTTTTTCGTTTCCTTCTAAATTTTTATAAAATCTTTACTTCTATAAAGCACAATAATGTTATAGTATTTTTGTGTGTGTTGTCATATCATGACATGCTATGACATAAGATTCCTTAAAAGGCAGTTCTATTGTAGATTTCACTCATGAATGTTTTTTATATTTAGAAGTACCAAGAAGATTTCAATTGTGACACAGTCTATCCGATAATGTGGTTTCACAGCTTGAACGCTGAAGGCATTATAATAGGACTTTTGTGTACTTCTATAATTTATGTAGTATTACAGCATATAGCTTCTCAGAGCTAAACTATTCAGATATAATTTACTTAAACTATCTACATTAGCCATGGATTACAACATTGGTTCATTGGCAATCTAGATTTCTTAAATTTTATGATCTTTTTTCAACTCACTTGTATAAAGTACCTGCTTCTACCCCTAATTTATTTTTTTCAGTGATGAATGAACAGGCTTTTGGCCAGGTATCTAAATTTGCATTTCTTTCAATAAGACTGTAATAACAGGTTGTGGTAGAGTTTCAAGAATTTCTGCAATAAGTGCAATACAATCTAAAAAATTTAAGACTGTTGGATTTCACAAATGCCTTCTCTAGGGAGCAAAAGAGAAGAGTAGGTAAGTGTTCAAGCTACCCTTGTAACTTTTGACTAGAGATAAATAAATGATGTATTTTTACAGTTGGAATTTTTCCCCCTTAGCACCTCTTTCTTCCTTTCCCTTCCTCCCCCTAAAAAAAAAAAAAAAAAAAAAAAAATTAAGGTATGCACCGTGGTATAATGAAAAGTACACTGGATTAAAAGCTAGTAGTTCTGGGTTTGAAATCCAGCTCTCTTGCTAGTTAGCTGTATAACATTAAACAAATCCCTCCAATCTCTGAGCCTCAATTTTTCCCTCTGTAAGATTAGGAAACTGAACTAGATGACCTCTGATTTCATGTAGTCTAAGTCTTTGCTCATTTGATGTCTTAGTTATCTAGTGCTGCTATAACAGAAATACCACAAATAGGTGGCTTTAACAAACAGAAATTTATTTTCTCAC